TGCCTAGAAAGGGGACATGGGGCATACACGGTGTCTTGATGGCTTTAATAGTAGAGCTGGAGTCAGATCCTGGATGTGTGGTCCAAACAGATGTCCCATGATGGCCCTAAGCAAGAGCAGTTATGCGCTCAGGTCGCACGTGTGGCATGCTTGGCATCTCCAGAAATCCCTTGGGAGTAATCTGCCATGGGTGAGGTTTGCAATCGGGGGGTTTGAATGAAGACTGTGCACTGGCTTCCACTCACACGGGGGAGACCTGGGACTGATGGAGCTCTTCTAGGAAACGGAAAAGCACAAGTTCTCCATAGAACAGCCACAGGACGGCAGATGCATCTCTTGTCACAAGTTTCATGAGTCCTGAGTGCCCATCTTCATTCATGTCTAAAATGGGGTCCTGCCTCAGCCTCACCTCTCTACATAGGCCCATCCTGTGCTACGAAGCCTGCGAGCAACCTGTAGCAGGTAAAGCTGAGTGCCTTTCTGAGCAGCAGAGGAGGAGCAAAGGGGAGGCCTCAAGGCTCCAAGCCTAAGCAGAGACAACCCAGAGTCCAAGCAAAAACCACCATTTTGTTTTCTACCTGCAAGTTTTCTGAATTTTCCAAGCTGTCATTTGAAAAGGGGTAGTGCTGCTTTTTCAGAGGCAACCGTGAAAAGTAAAATAAGCTGAGTAAATGAAGGCAGTCAGCATGCATGGCTCTTAGGACCAACTTGTGTTCTTTCCTGTTGGCCACTCCTGGTGTGGGGGGCCTTGATAATAAACCAGAGCCTTGAGGGCAGCCAGCATGCTATGCAGAGGTAGCTCCCCTGAGCAGCTCATGTGACAGGTTGGTGTAGCCCAGCCCCTAATCTAAGCCACCCATAGTTCCTGCTACCCCAACTCATGGAAGAAGATATGCATGGGCATTTTCCCACTCACTTCCACTAAGTCTTGGCTCATCAAGCAAGAGTGATTGACAGCCCCCAAAGGCTGCTGAGAGCAACTATGTGAAGGAAGGGTCCGGAGAGGCCTCCTCCACCTGTTACTCTTTTCTTTATCACTTCGTATCCAAAGGGTCCCTAAGCCCCGAGTAAAGGGTCAAGTGCAAATCTGGTAAACCAAGCCGCCCCAGCAGTTGTCAGGTTAATTAGCCTTAAGGAAAATGATGTGGCTATCTGAGCAGAGTGGGGTTGCTATAGAGACAGGCACAGGAGGTGCATTTAGAATGGGGCCTCATCACATCACCCGATAAAAATAAGACTGGGGCTTTTTAATAGAATGAGTTACTTAAGTTTTATATTTAACAGGGGGCAGCACCACAGCTATTACTGGTTTTCAGAATATTTTAGGAATCTGGACTGCCTGCTCGCTCCTGCATATGTCAACAGCCATCACTACATGTGCCATGGAGGGCCGCAGTTAAGCACTGGACCGTGTGTCACCCCCTGAGAAGAGAGATGGCCCTTCTCACTTCTACTTTGTCCTTCCTTAATTGGGTGATAGATTTCTGATGTGTTTCAGACAATGGCTTGCCTAGAGCAACACAGTTCAGCAACATCCGTTTGCATGTGCCATGCCTCCTCACTATAAAAACCATGTCCAGTCACTGGCTCACCCTTCAGATGAGAAAGAGGAGGCTCAAAACGGCCCCAACCTTACACAAGACCACAATCCAGTAAAAGCATACTGTTAGAATTTAAATTCAGGCTCCAAAACCCATTCCTTTATAAAATGCCATTATAGCTGTGACATTATAGCTGTGAAAAGAATGGGAGATGAGGTAGACCCAAGGAGGGGCAGGTGCCCATGTCACTTGGGAGATGGCATATGGGCCTTGCTATACTTTAGTTTCATTTTGAAAGTGGATGTGTTCCAAGGAATACTCCAGGGATTCTGACCTGTTCTCGCTAATGAGCACCCCACTAATTATAAGAAATTAATTCCAAGCCAACTTCTCTGTATTACTCAGCTTTCTGTTACTGTAATAAAATGCCTGAACTGATCAGCTTAAAGTAGGAAAGCTTTATTTTGGCTCATGGTCTCTGTGGTTTCAGCTTGTGGTATTTCATATGGGGGGAACACATAGTGGGGAAGGTCTGTTTACTTCATGGCATCTAGGAAGCAGGTTGGGGAGGGGAATCAGGAAGAGACTGTCATCCCAAGACCCACTTCAGGAACATACCTCCAGTGGCCTAACTTCCTCCAGTGACCTAACTTTCTACTCTTGGGCTTTGCCTCTTATAGATTCCTCCATCTCCCAACAGCTGGGGGCCGAGCCTTCAACACAAGGACCTTTAGAGGCCATTCTACACGTGCAAACCATAGTATTCTCTGAACCATCCAGCAAGCGACCAGGATGCTGGTTCCCAAGATGGTAGGAGCGTGGTTAACACAAGATCCCAAGCTGAACATTGGTCAGAGCGCGCCTCTGCTCTTGCACACATAAAGCTGGAGCAAAGTGAAATTCTTCCATCTCTGGGTTACTCTTGGTTATTCTTATTCTGTGGGATGCTTCTAAAAGTCCTACTTTAACTTTTTTTTCCTGTGAAGACCTATGTGGTTGACTTTATCTATGGCCACACAGCTTCAAGGGACTTGAGAAACACATGTCTGGGGCCAAACTAACCAGAACATCAGTCAACTGAACTAGAGAAGGACAGAAAATATGCGGAAGCCATGGACTGGAGGCTCAGACCCAGACCTGAGCAGGAGGCTCAGAACCATGGGGAAGGTACACTGGTGTCGCTCGGCCACGGAACGTGTGGAGGAATTTGTCCAGGCTTCCAGCAAGCAGCCTTCAGTGAAAGTGTGCAATGCAGATGAGGTGGCATCCAGGTCTTAACCTACACAGAACAGTATCTGGGATCATACTGAGTTCAAGAACGATCCTTAGTACTATTGTCACCCTATTCCCTCCCCAGGATACACACTTTACAGTTCCTGCACTGCCATTCCACCTACAGAGTAAGAGCTGGATGGTAGGACAATGAAACCCAAGTTGTCTCCTCAGGTGGGCCTTTGTTAATTTGTTTCACTCTCAAAGATGTAGATCCCTTCTTACATATTATATTCATTTGTAACTATCTATTTTCACTGCCCATATTCAGTATAGTGGTGTGTGTGTGTGTGTGTGCGTGCACACATGCATGCTTGTGGTGTGTGCTCCACATGTGTAGGTAAGAGGACAACTTGCAAGAGTCCTCTCCTTCTACCATGTGGGACCAAGGGATCAGACCCAGGTCATGAGATTTGGTCGAGAGCACTGTTTCTTAACGAACTATCTCACCAGCCCAGGATCGTTTACACCCTTTTAAAATAATTTTAACCTTGGGTAATATACCCATTCTACTTAAATGACACTTGAGAAAAGAAATTTGGTGTAAGGGTAAGTATAGAAATGTTTTTAGTAGTTTTTAACTGTAATATTAGCCTAGCAAAATTTAACTGCCAAGGGCTGGAGAGATGGCTCAGCCATTAGAAGCACTTACTTTCCTTGCAGAGAACTCAAGTTTGGTTCTCAGCTCTCGTGCTGGGTAGCTCCAACATCATACGCACATACTGACAGACACACACATACACATACACATAATTTAAAATGTTTTAAATAATTTTAAGTTTACTGAAAATACAGACATTTTTTAAGGCAGTTGGTGAGTTTTTTTTTTTAAGGAAAAGTCATTTTGCAGCTAGGACTATGGCTCAGTTGATAGACTGATTGTTTATATCCATGAAGTCTTGAGTTCAATCCCCAGCACCACATAAAACCAGGCTTGTTAGCACATTCCTGTAATACAAGTTCTGGATATTCAGAAGTTTAAGGTCATCCTTGACCACACAATGAATCTGAGGCCATCTTGGGATAGATGAGAACTTGTCTAAGCACACACACACACACACACACACACACACACACCACAAAACGTTTTGTCCTGCTGAAATGATCATTCAGTGTCTACTTGGTACATAATAAGGAAAATCGGTAGTAGCCTCTGCAAATCTGGCTCCTATTTATAAGCAGTGTCATGAGTAGGTTTTGGACCTGCGCAGGTATAAGCCCTGATCCTGTCATTTACCGCCAGTGATAAGCCTCATAGCTTCTCTCAGACTCTACTTGAGCAATGGTCAAGGGGGAATGGTAGCGATTAGAGGCCAAGGGTGAGCTGAAGCAAGAGAACTGCATGCCACTACTTTCCCCTCTGGGCGAAAACCACGGCCAGAACCATGAGCAGGAAAAGGTGACCCCATCCCTCCCTGCCTCCACCACCCCCATTTTGCTGGACAAACCCTCTCCTATACACCCAGTATGGAATATGCATTGTCCTGGTAGAAGGGCCCTCTTCAGCCACGAGCTCTTTCCATGAATAGGTCTTGAGAGTCACTTATAGGCCAGCATCATCACCTGCCACCATGCCTTTCCCATCTTCCTTTACCCTTTGCCCTCTAAATAAGGAAGCCAGCATGGTGGGGCAAGGACTGCTGCCCAATTTGGGTCCTGGGTGGCCTCTGCCTCCCTCTTCCCTGGGCCCCTAGCCAGCTCCACCCTCCCGCAGAGATGCTCCCTGCTAACTTCATTCCTGCCTCATAGTTGGAATGACAGTGGCTCTCAGAATCCCTGGGGAGTGGGGAGGGTGATGGGGGTCTGGGGAGGCAGCCAGGCCCAGGAGCAGGTTAATGTTACAGCCCTGGGTAAGTGAGCTGGGCTGGCTGACGTCAGGGTGGTGATGAAGGGGAGGGCCGGGTTACTGAACTATAATGATAGGTCAAATCAAATAGGATCACCTCGGGACGGAGCCCCGCAAGCTGGATAGAGAGCTTCCCCAAGCCATGGTCCCTACCAGCCGCAGCTCAGTCTGGGTCCCGTTGCTCTCAACCCAAGTGCCTGAAGCAGGCTTTGGTTTCATGTCAGCAGCCTTCATCTGCCTTCCAAAAATAAGCCCCTGCCGCCATGCCGAGGGGAGAAAAACAAGAAGGGCGGTATTTTTAGGGCCATTAATTCTGACCACGTGCCTGAGAGGCAAGGTGGATGGCCCTGGGACAGAGGCTGTTCATCACTATGTTCCGGGGAGTAGGACATGTTCAGGGCACGCTGCAGGCTCTCGTCTTCTTAGGCGTCCTAGTGGGCATGGTGGTGCCCTCACCTGCGGGCACCCGCGCCAACGGCACGCTGCTGGACTCCAGAGGCTGGGGCACCCTCTTGTCCAGGTCTCGAGCTGGGCTAGCTGGAGAGATTTCGGGTGCGAATTGGGAAAGTGGCTATTTGGTGGGCATCAAGCGGCAGCGGAGACTCTACTGCAACGTGGGCATTGGCTTCCACCTCCAGGTGCCCCCCGACGGCCGGATCAGTGGGACCCACGAGGAGAACCCCTACAGTGAGTGTCACTAGCAGACAGCTGCGGTCCTTGCTGGCTCAGGCACCAGCAGAATCAAAAGATGAAGGAGTCTTGCGCTGGTGGGTGGGGCTGCATTCTAAAGGGAGCATGCTGAACAGTGTTTAGATGGATTGATCCCACCCTGCCCTGCCCAGATAGGGGTGCAGGCCCAGTGGGCTCAGACCTATGCATCTCGGTGTTTTTAGCCATCATCTCAGATAACTGCATCCTGGTGTTAGTAATTGCTCCAGGATTAGTGGTTCATCTCTGGTCCTGGAGTCAGCCTGAAAAGCTATTAACTGCACTGGTAGAGGAGATAAGTTTTGATATTCCATCCTAGTTAGATCCATACATTTCTATCTTCCTTCTTTGAGAGGGCAAGTGGTCTGAAAAGTGCCACTCGGAGACACATCCTTCTCACTGGGGTTCCTGTAGAGTCAGGTGCCTGCATGGATAGTCTTCCAGCCAAGGCAATGTTCAGACGGTAGGGTCCCAGACAAGCCATCTAGCCCTTTGCAGCTGCTGTATTTGTGAACTAGTTGAAGCGTGTGGAGCAGACATTAAGTAGTGATAATCAAAACTGACTGTGTGTGTGTGTGTGTGTGTGTGTGTGTGTGTGTGTGTGTGTGTGTGCTACTAGAGACTGAACCAGGGGCCCAGCTATAACATGCAAGTACTGTACCACTGAGCTGTATCTCTACCTCTCCACCCCCCCATTCTTCTTCACCCAAGTCAATGACCTCAGTTGACAAATTCACTGAAATCCCAGATTCAAAACTAATCTTCAATAGATGTTTGAATGTTCCTTGTGATCCCCAATTGCAACGCAAAATTTTTCCATGCAGAACTTTGTATACTACAGGATGTGGCCGAACTTTATATGTTATAGGGTGTGACAGACTTTGTATACTATAATGTGACAGAACTTTGTATGCTATAGGGTATGACAGACTTTGTATACTATAGGATGTGACAGAACTTTGTATGCTATAGGGTATGACAGACTTTGTATGCTATAGGGTGTGACAGACTTTGTATGCTATAGGGTGTGACAGACTTTGTATACTATAGGGTGTGACAGACTTTATATACTACAGGATGTGACATAACTTTGTATGCTATAGGATGTGACAGACTTTGTGTGCTATAGGATGTGACAGACTTTGTATACTATAGGATGTGACAGACTTTTATACTATAGGGTGTGACAGACTTTGTGTGCTATAGGGTGTGACAGAACCGAGTGTGCTACAGGATGTGACAAGATGTGGCTAGTGTAGCAAAGGGATGTTATAAGGCTAGAGAGAACAAGGACAGAAGTGAGGGAGAGGCTGAGCTTTGGAAGAAGGGGACAACTGGATGCCCCTGAAGGGACTTGAGTCTCCTCTCTCAAGTTTACATGAACATTAGTGTGTATTCTGCCTTTCTTTGTCAGGCCTGCTGGAGATTTCCACGGTAGAGCGGGGTGTGGTGAGCCTCTTTGGTGTGAAAAGCACCCTGTTCATCGCCATGAACAGTAAAGGAAGACTGTACACAACGGTGAGTAACTCAGGTGAGGGGAAGCTCCAGGCTGCAGGAACCCTGAAGCTCATACCACTGAAACAGCACATGTACAACACTGAGAGCTGACTCTTTTTTTGAGAAGGAAGAAGGAAGGGCTGAAGAGGAGCCCTTGCTGACAAGGCACCTTGAAGCTCATGCTTCCTTTATTTCACAGAGAAGCATCTGCACAGGCCTGTGGTTCTCCCAACCCCACTTGCAGGACCTTTGCCCTTAAAGAAGCCACAGCTCAGAGAGCTCTTGGGTAGGGAAGAATGTGCATTCTGGCACAAAGCTGTCATCCGGCTCACAGTCAGGTCTGGGTGGCTGAACTGGAAAGGCCCAGAAAGGCAGGCCTATGGATCAGCCTGTGTGTGCTGCCCACATGACACGCCCCTCCAGGAGACACTTCACTGGAGTGCTGCAGAGGCTCTCTCTTGTCTTCATTAGTGTCTTGAGAGATAGATGTTAGGCTGAGTTTTATGTCCTCTGCTCTCTGATCCCATGGTCTATAGAAATATCCTCCTCTGTCATATCTTCCCAGCAGGCGCTGGACCCCACCCCTCCCTCTGCACTATAGATCACTGTGGAAGGGAAAAACGCTGAGGGAAAATTCTGGCCCTTTCGTTGTTTGCCAAAACCCCTACTTTCTCTGACCCACTCACTTCCAGGGCTCTCTGCCTGCGACTTGACCTATTCCAAAACATGAGTTAGAAAAATGCTCTATAAAGTTGATTTAAAAAACCAAGAGGTCCTTTGACAGAAATAAGGAAGTTGGGTCTAGCTAAGTAGCAGAGTGCTTACCTAGTACGTACTAGGCTCTGGGTTCAATCCAAAAATGAGGAAGAAGAGGAGAGGAGGGCAGGGGCTAAAGAGGAAGGATGCCTCAGATCCACTGGAAGAGTTCCTAGGGAGAGTGAAGGGCCTGTTCCTCCCATCTCTGGGGGGACAGAAGGCTTAGGAAGGGACCAGTGCTGGGTTCCTGGGGGAAATCTCCCAGCAAAGAAAGTCGAGAAAATACTCGAGGGAGCTGGTCAGAGCATCTCTGCTTCTGAACCTTTCGAGCAAGTGTCTCAAAGTTGGTTTATGGGGTGGGCTAGAGTCAGTGCCTGTCCAGCACAGTTCTGAAGCCACCCGTGTGCACTCATCCTGTTTCCAGAACCTGCTTCAGACACTCAACATCACTGGGATGGAGACTGTCAATCTGTCTGGCTCAGGGTTTAGGTTTTTGTTCTGTTGGTTTTCATTTTTTGTCTTGTTTTAGGTTATGAGGCATTTTTAGAGGTGCAGGTAGCTGTGGGTGCTGCCAGGCTCCATGGTACATGGCGGGTCTACCTAGTTTGAAGCCAGGCCCCAGGGCAGCAGGAGGGGAAGATGGGATCTAGATGGAATTTTCTAGATGGAATTCTCAGATGCCGATGTACCACTCTCTGGGAAAGTAGAAGCAGGAAGCAGCCTGTGACCACCCAAGGCTTTGGAAGAACAGGCACCCTTCTGTGGAGTGAGTCCTCCTAAATTCTCCTCACCAGCCACCAGAATCCCATCAGCTAGGATGGCTGGGTCTAGGACTCCACGTGTGCATTTTAGCAGGCGAATTACCAGAAGCCCAAATTATAGGAACATATCTGACACCATAGTTAACAGATTTTCCTCAGTTATAAAAGAATTCATTTATGGCAAAGGAGAGAGTTGCAATTTCCTGCTCGAAATTTCTGGTTAAGAAGAGCTGAGCACTGGGAACATACATTTTGGCTTAAAGAGAAAATGATCCCAAAGTGTAGACTCTCTCTCACGGCAGCAAATTTCCCTGATGTGTGAGACACCCAGACTCAGGTACTAAAGGTATTTAGAGTGCTCACTAAACAGAAGTTGCCAGAGAGAGTGGGGACCTCTCTGAAAGATGACCCTCCTGTTTCCATATCCAACAGTCCGGAAGCAAGAGGTCTTGGTGAGAGAGTCTCCCTTAGACCCCAGGGCTAGAGATCAGAGCTCATTGGACAGCAGTGCCCCAGCTAGGGCACCTGATGCTTTGTGTGTGGCTGGAGACCAGCCACTGTTCAACCCCCCTCCCCACCCCCCACCCCTCAGCAGCAGTTATCACAGTCTAAAAAAACAATTGCCAACTGATCCCAGGAGCCAGGAAGACTCCTGCTGGGTGGTGATTTCATTCACACTATTTCCCTTTAAACCCCTCTGAGCTGCCTCCTCCCTCGGTAGATCAGCTGCTGTAACCTCTAAATGGCATTTCTCATGGTGGGGGGAAGGGGACAGATGAGGAGGAAAAGGCAGCCACCGTGTGGTGGGTGAGCAAGGCCAAAGAAAAACTTCCTTGAAGCGGTCTTCTTTCTTTCAGATGAAGGGTAACGGAATCTAAGGTCCCCCTCTACAGATGACATAAGCAGCCCCTTGTACTGAGCACGTACCTGGGGTCCTGTAGGGTCCTGGAGAAGCATTCGGTCTTTAGCCTCTCTGTGCAGGTGGAGACTCGAGGTGTCCACAGTCTCTGGCTCTGTCCCTGCGTCCAGTTGCAACTGTGTGCAGAACCATCTCCAGACTCTGCAGATAACGCATAGACAGCTGGCAGGGGAAGCTCATTTGGCAGGGCAGATGGGAACTAGCCCTCCAATTGCTGCCCAGTCCTACTCTCTAGCTGCTGGACTTATTTCAGGCAAAGTCGCTGAGCTTCTCACAGCCTGGACTTTTGCCATCTTGAATATTGACTGGAGCAGAATATGAGTGAACCCCAATATTCTTACCCCCCTTAAGATCCAGGAAGTCATCATGTATCCTTCCTGAAGGTGTCCTGTGGCCATCCATTGAGAAAAATGCACATTGCACTTAGAAGAGGTTATACCAGTTCACATACTTCTAATCAGTAGGATCCCAATGACACGCAAACCTCCCCCTCCTCATGTGACCGGGTGTAATAGGGACACGTGTCCAGAGCACATATGGGATAAAGATCTTGAAAGACAGAGGTGACTGAGCTCTGTATAAACACAAGAGGATGGGTGTGGCAGCATCCCCGCTGTCCCACAACTTTTGGGACCATTTTTACCTGAGGTATTTCAGCCCAAACACCCAGGGATACCTTACTTTGCACAATGCTTTTGCATTGGGGGAGTTAAAGGCTATGTCTTTTAAAATGAATGGCTGTGCTTGGTCCTACATGGAATTCAAGACATTGTTACGCTGGTGCTTGAGAGCAGCAGGCCGGGGAAATGTGATCTGGTGGAATTGTTTTCATTTGTTCAAGTCATAATATGTGGTAGCTGCTTTTATTAACACGGTGTTTGCTTGGCTAAGGGCCTTTCTCACCAAGCCAAAGAACCAGTGCTCATGAGCTATAGGAACTCAAAGCTCAGAGGTATGATGGAGGCAACATGGAGGCTGGGCACAAAGTACCACCACGGTCCTGTGGAAAATGCCATCAGTAGGTTCCAGGAACTGTACATGGTGATGTCATGTCACAAACCCCCAAATCGCCTGAATGGCCTGAGGATGGGGGACTGACAGCATCAGGGGCAGGCAAGAGGCTCCTAAAGAACATGAGCTCTTTTTCCAATGTCAGGTTTGTAGAGAGTTCTGGGAAGACCAGAGATAGAAAATGGGTTAGAGAGAAAGGACAAAATGGGAACAAAAGCAATCAACTTTAAACAGCAAAACAAAAACCAACAGGGGGAATGGGACAGACTTGAATAATCAAATCTGATGAGCAAGTCTGGGATGAGCACAAGGCCTTTGGTTCCACTCCCAGCACTGCCCCTGTCAAAAAATGTCTGCTGAGCAGAAAGCAGGTAAAGTGTTGCCTCTCTTCAGATCCTCAGGAAGTTGGTTCCAGGAGCCCCATGGACCTCCAAATCTCTATGTGCTGAAGTGCCTCATAAAAATGCTGTGACATCTTCATATGACCTGTGTGCATCCTTTCAGACATTTTGACTCACCATTTGATTAACACTTAAATATCACACAAAGGCTACTTTAATAGATGTTGTACTGTTTTTTTAAGGAACAATTTATTAGGAAATAAAAATCTGTGCACATCCAATACAGATACAATCTTTTCCCAAATATTTTTTAGTCCGTGGTCAGCTGACTTTAGGGGTACAGAATCCACAGATACATATGGTCATCTGTATATGTACCCACAGTGACACAGATGTTTTCAAAAACGGTGGCTCTTAGCCGGACTCATTCTAGGAAATGGGATGTGGGTAATGCCCATAGTTTTCAACCCAATGGCGTAGTTCCTCTCCCTTCCTCTGCTCTGTTCTCCGCCCTAAGGTCCGATTTCCTCTCACCAGTTTGCAAACAACACACAAAAACCTCTCCCTTAACCACTATCCAGATCAGAAATAAATTCCCCTGGAAACTGGCTGGGTGAGTTCCTCTCTGGAGGCAAACAAAATTAGAACAGAGGGAAGGCAGGTGGGTGGAGGGGCTGCATCACCACGAGAGACCACTGCGTCTGATAGAAATGCCTCCCCTCACTTCCTGGCCCATCTTGTACCTTGAACTCCTTTGCCATTTTAAATAAATTACTTATGTGGGTAGATAGCACATGAAAATGGTTTAAGAAGGAAGGAAAAATACAAAATATTGTCACACAACTTAAATTTCACCCCTACCAATGCCTTGATGCCTATAAGTTCCTCCTGAGATTCAACCTGTGTGAACAGTTCCTTGTGGACCAATCCGTGAATAACCTGTTTGTGCATGAGTGTATGTGCTGGTGGCTTTTAAAAGTCACACTACAGAAGTTCAAGGATTTTAAAATTTTATGTGTATGAATGTTTTGCCTGCATACATGTCTGTACACTACCTGTGTGTCTGGTGCCCTCAGGGGCCAGAAGAGGGTGTTGAATCCCCTGGAACTGGAGTTATAGACAGTTGTGAGCTACCATGTGAATGCTGGGACTCGAACCCATATCCTCTGCAAGACATGGGTTCAAACTATGTATCTTCACTTGGTAATATGTTTTTGAGATAGTCCAGTGTAAATGTGCAAAAGGTTTTCTTTTCATGGCTTATAGAACCCCATAGTTTAATCGGTCATAGCTGAGTCAACTGTTCCCCCTTAGTAGAGACTGGCTGTTTGGGATTCTTGATATTAAAAACTGTTGTGCCAAGTTTTGTACACATGTAGGAATTGAATGCCATGATTTGTTCCTAGAAGAATTGCTGATCATCGATTATTCCAATTAAAAAAACAATTCTAGTAGATGCTGTGAATTGCCCTATATAGAAGGAATAACACTATACAAGGAAGAACACTGAGGATCCCTAGTCTTGGGACCTTAGCAGTTACAGTATCAAATGCCTTTCTCCCTGCAATCTGACCTTTGATCCCTGGGATCCGTGTCTGGGGTGGAGTGGAGTCTGCATGTCCATAGGGCTCAGGTGCTGTTCAAATGCTGTTAGAGGCTCTAGAGTACTGATGATAGTGCTCTCTATCACCCCATTATAGCAACATGAAGGGAGACCCATGTGTCTCCATTCCTGCTGAGGCTGGGTGCACAGACTTCTGAAGCACTTGTCTAATTATTCTTTTATCAGTAAATAATCAGGAGTCAGATATCGGGGTGAACTCCTGATTGATCAGAGAAGTGTCAGAGAAGTGATCAGTGACCTCTGTCTTTTTTCCTCAATCCAAAAGGGCTGAGAATCTTCCTAAGCCCCTCCCTACTCTTCCTGTGTCTCTCCCTCTCTCTATGTCCTGGGTCCTCCAAAACCTCTATGGCTAATTTTGGTCAGCTAGTAGCTAACACCGTCCTCTGATTCAAGGTAAATTTTATTGACAGTTTCGGGAGTGTCACAGGGAGATTAAAATGTCCCACAACAAATTTATTTCAGAAATCCAAGGACACCTTTGGCACCAGGGAGAAGTCATAGAGCCGTTGAACTGTGGTTGCTGGTACATGGGTATGCACATGTGCATATGCCTAGCCCACATGGTAGCCCATGGGCGGCACAGAGCAACTTCCTCTACAGCTCTCTGCCTGATTCCCTTGGGAACCAGGTTCTTTTCCTCTATAAAGATGGCTGTTATCTCAGACCCCAGAGAATGGTGCGGTCTATGAAGCTCCACTCACCTTATGGGCTCAAAGTCAAAACTGAAAATGAGCCTTTGGTCTTTAAGGGACTACAAACTTAGGACAGCAGCACTGTGGGTGGGAAGAGACAATCCTGGAAAGGACTCAAGAGCTCACTTGTTTCTCTTCTCCTCTACCCACTAACCCACCATCTCCCTGGCACCACATAGCTTTCATGAAAGAACCGAGACTCTGAGTGGAGGAGACTGTCCAGGCTCACACTATTGGGAAGTAGAAAAGTCATTGAGCAGTGGTCTGGGCCTCCATCCTGCTCTTCCAGACAACCTCTCATTATAGGTTTGGCACAACTCACTGTCACCCTCCATGACCCCTCCTTTGGATAGAACACATTCTCACCTGAGGACTTGGTAGAAAGTACCCCTGCCTAGAAGTCTGTAAGCCCTGCTCCGATCTCCCACAGGATATGATTGTCATACCTCTACGGTCCAAGCCTTGGCTTCCTTCTGGTGTAGGAGGGCAAGTGAGAGGAACTGTGAGGGCTCTGAGGTGCCTCCCATCCTAGCCTGTCATGTGTCTCCCTCCTCGCCGTGTACACGCTGTGGTTGTGTTTTTACCAAGGGAAGGGAGGGGCACAGAGGAAAGGTTGCCTGTGTGTAGCTCCGCTTGTGTTTGGGCATTTCTTAATTATCACTGGGTCTCTGCTGTCTGTTCATCTTCACAGCCCAGCTTCCAAGAGGAATGCAAGTTCAGAGAAACCCTCCTTCCAAATAATTACAACGCCTACGAGTCAGACCTGTACAGAGGGACCTACATCGCACTGAGCAAATATGGACGGGTAAAGCGGGGCAGCAAGGTGTCCCCAATCATGACTGTCACTCACTTCCTCCCCAGGATATAAGGACCCACGAGTGCAGGAAGGCTCACAAAATGACAGCTGCGTCTTTTCTGTTGGAATTTTCCACAAGAGAACAGTTCTGCTCTCTGCTCATATCCTGTGACTTCTGAGTCTGGCTTATCTTGTGCCTCAAGAGACCGGAGTTGGTTTCCTTGGCCACTGGACTGCATGGCATGTAACCCGCATGACTGAAGGGTTGCAGTTGACATCTCGGAATGGCAGTGGATCCTGTACTTTGACCTCACCTGAGGAGAGACAGTATATATGATACTTGTGACTTGTGGTCCCATGCATAAGAAAAGGCCAGGATGGGAGTGTACCTGTGGCCATGCATACCCACACATCTTCGTGTAGATTCTCAGAGCAAAGGCATTTCAAAAATTTTTTTCTTTCTCCTGACATTGTCACTGCAAGAATCTTCCTGTCGAAGCATCACTTGTCAAGTCAGCGGGATTGAGGTGTGCCTCATTATATCTTGTTCTTATCACCCATTCATCCACATCCATTCATCCAGAGGCATTAACTGCACCAGGTGTCTGAGTGACAGTGAGCGGCTGTCTTTTACATGTAGGGAGGAAGGGGGGGTTGAAAAAGTATTTGCAAACTAGAAAAAAATAACCTGGCACCCTGGACTCCATGCCCACTGGACTTCTGAGAACTCCACGATGCATTGTTAAGGAAGCTGGGGGACAAGGAGACCCCTCCTTGGAAGAAAGTGATAGAACAGTGTTTGTGGCCATTGGGGAGATCTGGGAAGGCAGAGGGACTGGATGTTCTGTAGAGAGCAGCACTGCCTGGAGGGCTTTAAGCTGTGTGTGACTCTAAGAACTGGCCAGCACCAGGCCGCCTGCCCATAACGTTTCCTCACTTTGAACCAGGTCTTATTTTAACCTCAGATGACAAGGATCCTAATAATGGCAACCTCCCTGGCAAAGAAGGGCAGTGTGCAAATTAGGGCATGAAGGAAGTCCAGAGGCTTTGGACTCACCACGGTGATCCCTCTCCAACTATGTCCAGGAAACGCGCCCAAGTTCTCACCAGATACCCTCACTTCCTCCTCACTGTCCCAATCGTACATACACAATGCCTCCTGGATGCCGTAGGATGGGCACTGAGACCTTTTGTGTGTGCCCCTCTTCCTCACTACAGTAGGAGAGGCGTGATAATCCCGGGATTCAGGCAGCCAAGCTGAAGTGGCTTCTTGCTCTACAATGCCTTCATGCCTCTTGTCCTTTGAGAGTATTTTAAACTGAGGTTCCCCGAGAGACTATAAATGTGGTCTGCCTCGAGCCTGCAGATTCCTGAACTCTTGGAATGTTCCTAAATCTGATACCAGTGAGAGCCATATCAGTGCACAAATATTTTCAGCATATGTTACAAAATGACCTGACACCCTCTGCTACTCTTGGGAGCCCTGACCTGCAAGGCAATCCCTCATCTGTTGCAAATGCCTCCCTCTCCAACATACCTCTCTATTCGTAGCTTCACCACTCTGTAGAAGCTCTGAGCTCAGGGACTCTGAGTGGAAGATGGAGGTTGGCAATACAAAAGAGAGACACCATTCTAGCTCCCTCCTTTGCCCTCAAGTGTCAGGGTGGACAAGCGATGGGTGAGGAGGAAGGGTAGGAGCTAGGTGAGACAAATTAACATGAACATCCCCAACTACAAGGAACCCAGTCTTGGCTCAGTGTAAGGGGAAGAGAAACTGGCCCATCTTAACTGCTAGGATGTTGGAGTGCAAGTCAGTTGGGAAGGAGAGAAAGACACCTTTCTTTAGGACATCTTCGCCAGTGCCATCAACCTCATCACAGGGTTTGTGAGAAATTGGTCACTTGGAATTTTGAGTGTGTTCATTCTTGATGGAACTATAAGGACAGGATGGCTGGGGCTGTGGTCTGAGATAGGGATAGGAAAAAATATTTTAAGCCTCGAGACAGTCAACCACCAGCCTCCTTGCCTCCCTTCCCTCCCTTCCTGTCTTTCTTTCTAGATCTTTAGACCTACATACCTCAAGCCACTGTACTCTAGAGAGGTTGCAAGCCACTGGGCTGCTGGATTTTCCCCCCTTTTTGCTGAGGCTCAGGAGGCTGCTCAAATCCTGACAAGAAGTTTCACCAATTGTCCACTTGCGCCTTTCGTGATCAGGGTATGAAAGAGAAGCTACAGAATCCCCGGATGGAGCAGGCCCAGTGTCCAGCTGATGGGAAGCAGTACTGGCACGAGGATTTCCTTTATGGTCCAATGCATGGCTGATAATTTCAACTTTTTCTCATGGAAAGAAATTCTCTTAAGAGGTTTCTCTTTGACCTCAAATGACTTGGGTGAAGCCCAATTCACAGGCAAATTAAGGGACAAGAGAAGAACACAGCCAGTGAGAGGTGTGGTAAATGCCTTCTCTCAGGCCACTGTGAACAGGGGTGGAGTGTTATTTCCTGGTCACCTGCTCTCCTCGAAGCTATTGTTTGTAACCCTCTCACTGATATGCAATATATAAATTCATGGGGGCAGACCTGGAGAGATGGCTCAGTGGTTAAGAGCACTTGATACTCTTTCAGAGAAACTAGGTTCAGTTTCTGGTACCCACAAGGTGGCTACAGCCATCTTTTACTCCCTAATGTCCAACACCCCATCCCTCCTGGCTCCAAGGGCACTGCACAGATGTGCAGACAAAACATCTCATCGTCCCACTGCCTTGTGACACCTCTTTGCTTCCTACTTCCAATACATATTTTTACCTTCCTTTGGAAGACAGTGGACAGTCTAATAATGAAACCCTGTCATTACCCTTCCCAGACTCCTGCTCTGTTGCATCCCACAGTTACCCCAACAGACAAAGTTATCCTCACACATTGCTCCAAGCCCTTGGTCACAACCATTCTATGGTTTAAGAACAGGTCTTTTTTTCTTGTTATCTGAATCAATACAACCTGTCTTCCTTTTAGACATATGTTTATCTCTAGATAAAACAGCCTAGGCCTGAAATCCGATCCTGTCCCCAGTCCTAGCCTGTGAGGTTTGACATTCTTCACATGTGGCCTCCAGCCCCTTTCACTGCCCCAAGACCACAGATGCTTCAGGTTCTGAAGAAGGAAGGACACTGAAGAGTCCATGACTCTCATTGCCTTTGTCACGAGTGCTGTGGTTGCTGGCCCTAAGTCTCCAGCATAATAACATCTCTGCTGAGATTCCTTTCCGGCCATTTTTTGTATGGAGCTAAGCTAGAAAGCATCAACTTTCTATCCTTATGTCTTCCCTTAAGTAAAACCCCAAGTCACTCGTCACAGAACAGGTGACACCCCCTCCTCACAGTGAGTTTCTCCTACCTTCCCTCTCCATGATGACCTAGCCATCCATGCCACTTCTTTGAAACAGCACCAAAGATAGAAATGTTGGAACAAGGCTGGAACCAACAGAAATACTCGAAGCTATGCTTACATCTGAGTGGATGGAGTCTCTTCATGGAGCAGGAGTAGAGTGGCTACCCCCAACCAGACCCTGACTCTAGGGCAGTGTGCAGATCGCCAACATGGAGCCATGTTTGTATACCTCATGAACTACCGAAACCCCAGCCTCAGACACGGTCCTCTTTGTCTTCACTGTTAAGGACCTCGGGCTGGGTCCTGGTGCAGACCTGTCCTCAAGCTTGAGGGCAGTGGGTAAGAAATCCAGAAGCTGTTCAGTCATGTGCTTGTGAAATGTGATGTTTCTATTTTTAATATGTATGTGCTATGCACAAACCATAACATGTTCCAGCAAGAAGTTAAAGGTCTTTTTATACATTTCTCTAAACTGTTTGACTCCACCCCTCCCATTAAAAGCGACAACAAATCTCTGGGTTGTAGTTGATTTTTGTCTCAATTGTCTACCCCTTATATGGGCACTAGGAAGCAGGGGTGGGTGGGTTGAACACAGGTTTCTGGTGCTGTGGATGATGAAGGCAGAAAGAACTTGTGGGGAGCCTATTGGCCCTATTACAAATGGGGCATCTGTCCAAGAAATGGAAAGGACATAACCTAATACAGAAGGAGGCTATATGCCCCTTCTTCTCTGCCTCCATCTAAGTTATAAGCATTTTTCTGCCTGGGAATCCATCCACTCATTTACCCACCTAGAACTAATTAATATGTATCTCATCCTCAGCTAAGCTAGGTTTGGAGGATACATGAGAAACATGGTAGACCTCACCCATTCTCTCACAGATGTACAGTCCAAAAGCTAATGTGGGGTCGAGAGATGGCTTAATACTTATGAAAACTTGCTGTTCTTCCAACAGATCTGGGTTCAGTTTCCAGGACCCACACCTCACAAATGTTTCTAACTGCAGTTTCAGGAAATCTAACGCCCTCTCCTGGCCCTGAGGGCTTTGCATGCACATGGTACATTGACATGCATGCAGGCAAAATGCCTAAACATATAAAACAAAATAAATACATCTTTAAGGAAAAAACCCTCACCTGGTGGGCTGAGGGAGGAGTTGGGGAGAAGAGATGGGGGAGAAACTGTGTTATCCTTCTCATCTCCAGCTTCTCCCATTCCCCGACCAAGTGATTTTTTTTAATATTGCAAAAAATAAAAATTTGGATGAGGACAAAATCCAACACCCAAGATCACATTACCTTGTAGATCCCCAAGCCCACTCCATAGACTCTGATGGGACACATGGAGGTCCAAGGGTCCATATTTATTTACTTACCTGACACTGAAAATTATTGCCTAGTAGGAGGAATGAACTGCAGGACATTTGCTCAAGGAGAGCCATTCTCTGTTATAAAGTCCTTTCATAGTATTAAGCAAAGATGATGAAGACCAAGGAATGTAAGCCCCTTCCCCTACGCATGCCCTTCCTGGGCCTCCCACGACAGTCCCCTTGCATGTTCTTGCTCCAGCCGTCACCTCTCCCTTGCTTCTTCTGTGCTCATCTCTTGGGGGAGAAGAATGCATGCTTCATTTGAGCAATGCTGGGTTCTGCACATATCTAAACACTCCTGGAAGAATGCCCTGGTACTTGGAATATTTCTACATTTATTCATGCAATTCATATTTCTAGCCTCCTGCTGTATTCCAGAAACCATGCTGTTCCCTTGGAATATCATTTGACAAATTCTGCATGGGCTTACCGACTCACAAGGAAGGCAGATGTGAAACAATTCCAACAAACAGTAATGAGGGTGTGGAAGAGAAAATTTTTGTGTCCTATGGAATTTAGAACAAGGCCTTGACCTCACACAAGTGGATAAGAGAAGCAATCCTGGAGAAAGATGAACTCTTGAGGGCGTTAGACTGAGGGAAGAGGAGCAGTTGGGGGTTGGAAGGCAGGACAGAGGGAGTGTTCTGGGGGAAGAATACAAGAGATGCTTGACGGTAGGGCTACTAGGAAAAAGGGAGAGAATATGGCACCTTCTTTGATCTAAAATGTGGCCATTGTTGCAGGTACAAAATAAGAGGGCAGTGTTGATGGGACTCAAGATGGGTGGTGAGAAACTGTGCCATAGAGGTTTTTTGTTTGGTTGGTTGGTTGGGTTTTTTTTTTTTTTTGGTTTTATGAGACAGGGTTTCTCTGTATTGTTTTGGAGGCTGTCTGTCCAGCCTGGCCTTGAACTCACAGAGATCCGCCTGCCTCTGCCTCCCGAGTGCTGGGATTAAAGGCGTGCGCCACCAACGCCAGGCGTGCCATAGAGTTTTTGTGTGACACTATTGTACATAGTCTTTCTGAGGCTCCTATCTTCAGACCTTTCACCTCCTTGCCATGGTAAGTAAAGTTAAAGCTCTCGGATTAAAAACAACATTGTATCTTGTGTTGTAGCAGTTTAAGTGAGAATGTCCCCCGTAGACTCAAATGCTTGAATACTTAATCTTCAGCTGATGGAGCTTTTGGGGTAGGCTTAGGAGATGTGACCTTGCTGGTGGAAGTATGTCACTGAGGGTGGGCTTGAAATAACTTGGCAAACAAGAACAATTTGGAGGCTTCCAATTGAAGTGTCCCAGGTTACAGAAGATGCTGGCTGGGTAGAGCAGTGATGGAGGGATGGAAAGACATCTGATCCACCATCTCAATCACAGCCTGGCCCCAGGATGCTGTTTACAGGCTGAATCTAAGCCTCAGGAGCCTGCCTCCACCACTGACTGAGATAAATCCCAAAGGGTTCGGATTCCTTTCGGGACCATCTGTCTCCCTTATCCAGGTCAGTGAGGAAGTCAGTTTGCCACTCTCATGGCAGTATGTATGCCTACTTCTGAGACTCTCAAACCAAACAAGTGTTAACATAAAGACAGGCAAAAGGGCCCTTCTGTCTCACCTGAAAAACAGGCACCCCACAGAATAATAATGCTCCCAACTTTCCATGGAGCGAAGGAAGAATCGCATAGCAGATATCCAAATGTTTTGTTGTGACAACACTATCCCAGGGATACTCTCTACTCTGTTCATTCTCAGTCCAAGTATCTGTCCTGTATTCTCTAGTTTTACCCCTACCCTTGCCCCCATCCCTGAAGGCAAGCAGGGTCTCACAGCCCAGATTGGCCTCAAGCTAAGATCCTCTATCTCCTACTGCAGAATCCTGAAGTTCTGAGAGTGTCCCCAGGCACAGCTTCTCCCACACTTTTGTGCAATCAGAAATGCTGAGAATGCAACTCCAAGACACATAAAATTCTCAATTGCCAACGGTGCTTTAACAGATATTTCAACCCAAAACTTTGAATGCACCCCGTCCTCCACCCCACAATTCAATTCTTTGTTTAAATTTAATGGGCTCTTTAATTATCCCATCTCCTAGCACAGCGAGGGGGGGGAGTGGGAGCTGGGAAGAAGAGAGCAGGAGAAGAGGAAGAGAGAGTAGGTCATGGGGAAACAGGAAGGTTGAGTGGGGGGGTAGAATAGGGGTAAGAGGGAATCATAGGTTAGAAGACAGATCTGGCACCAGTGTGACCTCTAGTGATCTAAAGGGATGACACCAACAGGCAAGCTAAGCAATAGTGTAGAGACCACCTCAAATGCCCATTCCTGATAGTGAACTTGATGTCTATAACCATCCTGGAGCTTTCATCCAGTGACTGATAGAAGCAGAGGCTAACAACCTCAGTTAAATACTGAACTGAACCCAAGGAACCCAGTGACAGAGAGAGAGGAGCAATGAGCAAATTGGCAAAGAGTGGGCCTGCAAAACCAGCAGAGACAGCTGATCCAAACAGGGGAGAGCTCTTGGACCCCAGACCGACAGCTGGGAGGCCAGCATGGGACTGATCCAGACCCCCTGAATGTGAGAGTCAGTGAGGAGGCATGGGCAACCTATGGGGCCCTGGGCAGTGGATCAGTATTTATCCCTGGCATACAAATGGACTTCATGTGTCCATAACACAAAGAGGGTTGCTCTCTCAGCCTGGACTCTTAGGGGAGTGCCTGGATCCTGCTCTGAGTGAAATGACAGACTCTAGATATCCCCTATGTGGAAGGAAGTGGGGATAGGGTGGGAGGCTTGGGGGGGATGGTAGGGGATGTGGGAGGAGGGGAGGGAGAGGGAACTGGGATTGACATGTAAAACAAGCTATTTAAAATTAAAATAATAAAATAAAAAATTATCCCATCTCCAAATACAGTCACACAAGAAATTAATGTTTTGACCTGTGATTTGGTGGGTGAAAGAGAAGCCTATTGCAGAGCCTCATTGCCACCTGAGCAAGTCTGACCTCATATTTGATGTCATTTTCACAACATTCCAGGAAGGAGTCTGCAGTTGGCACATTGATCAGAATCTGAGAGGATCTGTTGTCGATATAAATAGCCCCAAAAGGGGGTCCTCTTCTTGTGATTAAGTGAACTAGGCAGTTACATCGAAAGCAGGGATTTTAACATCTTGGGGACATTTGATAATGTTCAAAGACTACTCTGGTTATCACAACCAATTATGGATACCACTGGAAAATGGCTAAGGATACTATTCATACCCTACATCTGCTGAATAGTCCCAAATAGCAATGGGATCAAGGTTGAGAAGCCCTGTGCTGTGGTGTAACACCCATGTGATTCGGATGAACTTAAGACCCTCTCGCTGAATCGTGGACTGGGAAGGAAAGACAGGAAGGAAGCATTTTGGATGCTAGTGTCCATGTTAGCACGGGAGTTCCCATCCTAAGCAAGTTCCACCTGGAATTGCTAAGGGTTGTGAGTTATCACCATCTGTCTAGAGTAGAGGGTCCATAGGTTTGCCCTGAGGAAAGAGACCCAGGGGAGATGGAGAGGTGTGAGAGGCCAGGGTCATGGGCAAGGGAAGTGGACGCTCACTCTCTTTTGGTGCTCACTATCACTTATTGTTTTACCATATGGGGATCAGGCCTCCGCCTCTGGGCCTCCTCCCACACCATCCTCCACTATAGGCCAGAAGTACTTGGCTTCTGAACTTTAGTCAAATAGGGTTTCTTCCTATATAACTTCAATTTCATTTTTAAAAGACTGTCTATTTTCATTTCTTTCTTAAATTCTTTAAATTATTTTATTTATGGGTGTGGGTGTTTTTCCTACATGTATGTCTGTGTACCGTGTGTGTACCTGATGCCCTTGGAGACCAGAAGGGGCCATTGGATCCCCTGGCACTGGAGTTACCTGATGCCCTTGGAGACCAGAAGGGGCCATTGGATCCCCTGGCACTGGAGTTAAAGACAGATGTGAGCCACCATGGTGCCTCAGGAAGAGCAGCCAGTACTCAACTGCTGAGCCATCTCTCCACTCCCCCCCACACACACTTCTTCCCTGCGCATACCATTGTCCTGCTTGTAAAATTAAAACATGTCTTGCTTAAAAATTTAGATGGCAAAAAAATATATATAGGAAGCTC